TTGTTCTCCCCCACTTTGCCTATGGGGGTGTGTCAGACATACATGATATAGCCTGTGTAGGTTGTAGTGGGGTAGCCAATAAGGGGTACAGCTTTTCTAGGGTTTCATACTTTTACCTTTCTCATTCCTAATCAATTCATTCCTCGTTCTTATTCTCACACAACATGAAATTGCGTGCTCCGTAAACGTAAAATCCGCGTTTTTAAATCATTGTAGACATGCGTAGAGCTTGACATGCCTAGAGATACAAAGGCTCAGCGTTATAACTATTTGCCTCTGAGTGCTACATTAATGGAACTTACGGTGTTATACAAATATAACGCCAAAACACGAGTAAAAAAAATATGCACCTGATAGCACACACACATTTATATAGGGTGTTGCGTAGTTTTATATATCCATAATTTATGATTCCGACTTTATATGACCGTATATGATTGGACGCGCAACGTAAAAAATTGTCCCGTGCATAAAATGTGTGAAAGTTTAAAAGAAAGAAGAGAGGTTGCACTAGCAAGAATGAGGATACAAATAGCAAACCCTAGAAGGGTTGTACTCGCTATAGAGCACCCCACTACAGGCTAGAGCATAATATTCTGACACACCCCCATAGCCAAAGTGGGGTGTAATCAGCAGAGCAAGCAAAGCAGTACAAGCTCAGGGTGGATCACAATGTCACCACACATTCTGAGCACAAGTTCAAGAAGCAATAGTTTAAAGTTCACAATTATGAGCAAAGCTAGTGGTAGTCACAACGGGCAAGTGAGGAGGAGGAAAGAGACTATGAGAGGAGAGGAGGTAGTGGGCGGCAGTTGAAGCTGCTGGCACACGGCGCAACTGGAGCAACTAGCACACGGGCAACTGGAGCAACTGGCACACTGGCAACTGGAGCAACTGGCACACGGGCTACTGGAGTAACTGGCTCCGCGGCTAAAAGTAGCGGCAGACGAGCAACGGACTCATGGGCGACTGGAGCAATGGGCTCACGGGCGACTGGCGCAACGGGCTCACGGGCGACTGGCGCAACGGTCTCGCGGGCGACTGGAGCTGCTGGCTTCACGGCGGCCACCCCCTTCAACCTCCCCAAACTATCCCACTCCCCCTGACACACACCCGCTGCTACACCGCTAGCTCCACTCCCCCTTCACCCCCCCCTTAGTACCACTCCAACGGCTCCAACAAGTCCACCCCCCCTCAGCGGCAGCTGCAGCACAGGGAGACGGAGGAGGAGGAGGAGCAGGGAACGGCACATAGTGGCTTCACCCCCATACCCCTCACCCTCAAACCCTAATTCAGGAGAACGGGCTGTAGGAGGGGTGGGGCGCGAGTAGAAGCACGGGGGACAGCGGGGAGGGCAGGGGCAGCGAGGAAAGGGCCGCCCACGGGCCTGGCACAGCCGCCCGAACCGCGCGCAGGCGGCCCAAGCCGCGCGCGGGCCTGGCGCAGCCCGTACGGGCCGCGCGCGGGCCTGGCGCAGCCCGTACGGGCCGCGCGCTGGCCTGGCGCAGCCCGTACGGGCCGCGTCCGGGCCTGGCGCAGCCCTTACGGGCCGCGCGCAGCCTGTACGGGCCGCGCGCAGGCCACGACGGGCGACGGGGGGCGACGCGCGGGTCCCCGTCGCCCGTCGCAGCGCCTCCCGAGGGCGACGCGCCTAGTGACGGGGCAGAAGCCCACCGCGCGCCTCGGGGCGCACAGCGGGCAGAGAACCGCCGCGCGCCACGGGGCGCACGGCGGGCAGAAAACCGCCGCGCGCCTCGGGGCGCACGGCGGGAAGAAAAACTGCCGCACGCCACGGGGCGTGCGGCACAGAGAGTAGCAGTGGAAGTTGCAGCGGAAGCAACGAGGTGGTGAGCCCACCCACAGGATCGATCCAAGGGGATCGACCTGCTCTGATAGCATGTGAAAGTTTAAAAGAAAGAAGAGAGGTTGCACTAGCAAGAATGATGATACAAATAGCAAACCCTAGAAGGGTTGTACTCACTATAGAGCACCCCACTACAGGCTAGAGCATAATATTCTGACAAAATGGTCCAATCACGTGCGGTCATTTAAAGTCGCGCGTGTTGACGATCGTGTATTTCAGTATGTGATCGGGGAATCATATGACTGTGCTCAGATTGGTCCTTCTTTGAACCGAAATTGAGCACGATATGACTGTTCGCATGGATGATTGATGTGTTTTTTGTTGTGTATATGAATAGCGACGTGGGTGCGCTCGCGCACGTCAGCCTAGCCAAATTTTCGGACGGAGAATAGTAAGTCACATTTCCGCAAAAAGATACATGTTCGTTTTGTCGAGAGTAAAAGGAATTAAGTTGAAAGGTGGTGCCTAGGCTTAGGAGCCTAGGCCCGAACTTAGGTGTCGAGTAGGTTTCCCTAGGCGAGGTATCGAGTGAGTTGGAAGAGAGAAATTGGAGAATGGGTTTCACTATAGGTTTCAAGAAACATATAGCATAGGAAACAAAGTTGGTGCACCACCTACAAAGTACAATAACTACACTACAACTACAAGCAGTTATAAAATATGACAAACATATTTCGACACGCCCCCATAATGCTTGTAGGTAGAAATGTAGGTACGCCCCCTGAGGGGGTACACCATGCAAAATAATCACAAGCAACAGCAGGTAATGCAGGCGGGCTAACATTAAAGAGTTACCCCCTCCATCTCCTCACCCTCCTCCTTCCCCTCCCCCACACTGCTGCAGGAGCAGCAGAGAAGGGGGGAAGAGAGGAGAGGTGGAGGGATGGCTGCATGTTGCCTCACACCCGCCACTCCGGTACCACTCCCCCTGCTCCCCCACATCCTCACACCCTCCCCCCCCAGCGGCAGCTGCAGCGGTGGGACTGAAAGAAGGAGGAGGGGAAGGGAGAGAGTTGACCCCACACTCCAACACCCTCCACCCCCATACCCTCCTCCCCACGGCTGCAGGGAGACAAAGGAGGAGGGGGGTGGGCAGGAAGAAAGCCGCAGAGCGGCGAAAAGGTGTCGGTGCAGATGGGTCAGGGGCGGCTTCAGGGAGAGCAGGGGCGGAAAGGCCCGTCGCGTGCCAGTGCCACGGGGCGCACGACGGGTAGGATAATAGAAAGGGCCCGATCGTGTGCCTCAGGGCGCACGACGAGCAGGGCACCATCGTGTGCCACGGGGCGCACGATGGGCAGTTGAAGGGCACCGTCGCGTGCCACGGGGCGCGCGACGGGCAGGGAAGGAGTCACACGCCCGTGGGCGGGACAAGGTAAAAAACAAAATCGTCACGCGCCCTAGGCGCGCGACCGGAAAATCTTAGCAGCGGAAGTGTAGAGCGGGCCAACAGGCCAGAACGAAATTAGCTCCGATAACATGTCGAGAGTAAAAGGAATTAAGTTGAAAGGTGGGGCCTAGGCTTAGGAGCCTAGGCCCGAACTTAGGTGTCGAGTAGGTTTCCCTAGGCGAGGTATCGAGTGAGTTGGAAGAGAGAAATTGGAGAATGGGTTTCACTATAGGTTTCAAGAAACATATAGCATAGGAAACAAAGTTGGTGCACCACCTACAAAGTACAATAACTACACTACAACTACAAGCAGTTATAAAATATGACAAACATATTTCGACACGTTTTGGGAATTTCAGGGCTAGTTCCTTGTATGGTAATGTGCCGGGGGAAAAAAAAAGGTGAGGAAAACCTCTAGCAAGGCCACTCGAGCAATTATCAGTCAATTGTAGAACCACGCGAGCAAATGGTGGCCACGTGTGCAACGCCGAATCACCAAGGCCCAGGTCGGTAGGCATTAAAAAAAGGGCTTCGGCGGATGGGCTACAATAAACCGACCACCCTGGAACCTTCTTTGATAAGCGCGTGAAGGGTTATCTTGGCTCGATATAAGCGGATCATCGCCGAACCAGACAATAATGGAATGCCTCCCGAACACCCTTTTTTTCTGCAGGCGTTTTCAACTGCCCGAATCTTCCACGAACCCAGTTTCTCTGGCAAAGTGCCCATTTTCTTATCCGCCACACCATGCGGCCTCAAGGCCCCGCACCATGCGGGTTATCAGTGATTCGGGGCAATAAAAAGTGACTGGTCAAATATGCCAGCCAATCATATGATCACGCGATCCATCAAGGCAACTTTCGAGCACCTTCTGCGAAACCCGGAATCTCGATTGATGCCATCAATCTACCCCCAATTAATGCCAACCGAACACTCATGCCATTTTCCCGAATGAATGTCTCAACCCAACGGGGTCCGACGGTGGTCCGACGGCCGTCGACCACCGTCGACCTGACCGGCGGGCAGAAAAAAACTAAAACCCCATCGGATGGCATGCCATCCGAGGGAGGCATCAACCCTAAATCCATGCCTCCCTGTGTTTAGGGTTGATGCCTCCCTGACCGGATGCATGCCCGTCTGGGGTTTATTTTCTTGCCCGTGGGCAGCGAGCTCCGCCGGGCGGACTCGCTTGTCGGCTGAGCTATATTGTAAGGTGCACTGCAGCTAAAGTCCAGTTTCGAAGTTGTTCCTGGAAATGCCCAGGCGCCATTTTTTGGGGCCCGTTAAAAATGCCCATAATGGCGAAAATGGCCATAATGCCTGCCGAACTGGGCCCAAACAAGGGTTTGAAGCAATTCTCTCCCCCGACATAGTGCGAAATCAAGCTCGACCTTCACGAAGGAGGATGGGTGCGTGCCAACATCGACGCAATTGTTTCGCGAAAAGGTTTCGTCGTGCAACTGGCTAGACTCGACGCTCAGGACTGCGCGACGTGGCTCGGAGGGTCGTCTGGCATGTCATTATTTTCGCAATTGAGGATACTCGCAGCTCATTGGTGGTTGTACCGATATCAGTTACCGTCGTTAGCCTGGCTGGTTCATCATTTCCCCGAAATGATACCACGCCCCCACCCAACCTTTCGGTGGGACCAGTAGAACCCCGATCCGATCCAGCACACACCAAGTCCGACATCATGTAAATCAGGTGTCCGTAACTCGAACTGCCGAAAGGCAATGCGGAAGTCTTGCGATGGACGAGCGGATAGGAGCCGTAGTTCCTAACCAGATACCGGAATCTCAGCAGGTGACGGATTCTGAGACGGTAACGGAGTCTGACCAGGCTCGGGAAACGGCTCTCGAGCCGCCAAGAAAGTCGTCTGATCAGGGATGCGAAACGGTTCAGGCGATTGTGGCGGAGAAAAAGAAGCTTACCCGTCCTCGTTCTTCTTCCGCGAAACGGAAACCGCAGGACAAGGGGAAGGGAAAGGAGCGAGCGAACGAGCAGCAGGGAGAGGAGGAGCAGTCTAGAACAAAACGAGAAAAGGTTTTGCCTGGCCGGTTAGCTTCAGGGGTTCTGCCGACGACAGAGCAAGCTTCATTGCTGACTGACGAGCAGATACGGCAGGATAGGGAAGCGAACGAACAGCAGGAAGAGGGGCAGCAGTCTAGAGCAGATCCAGAAAAGGTAGTGGGACCGGCAACAGGGCAAACGGCACAGCTGACTGCCGAGCAACTACGGCAGCACACGGAGCAGATTACAGGGCCGCAGCCACAGGACCTTGCTGCGCTACGCGCCAGCCCTCGCCGCCCAAGCAGTCCCGGCTTGTCGTCTAACGTGAGCGTGCGGCAGCTGAGGTCTCTCTTTGAACAGTCTAAGACCGCAGTAAGAACCACAGGAGCAGCAGGGCCGCTTCGGAAAGGCGGTAAGACAAGCAAGGGCACCAAGAGCGCAGGCAGCGGCAGCAACTCCGGCGGCGGCAACGCGAACGCGAAGGCTGTTAGGCGTGCCGGCAGCAGCGGCGCCACCACAGACACAGACTCATCCGACGCATTGGGTAGTAGTGGTAACCCTAACCCTAACCTTAACGCTGCGAACGGAAAAATGAAGAGAGATGGGTCGCTTAGACGGAAAGGGCAAACCGCAGGTGGAAACTTGGGTAAATCCCCCCGTGCTGTGAAGAGCCAGGTGCAGCGGCGACAGCAGGGGAAGCAGGCGTCGCAGGGACGGCTGAATACTCCCTGTCAGGTAGACACGAGCACGAGAGGAGGAGATGATGGGTGCGGGCTGGAAGAGGATGGGAGTCGTTTGAATGGAGAGTGTTTGGGAAATGACGGTGCGATTTGTAGGGAGGCTGGTGGTGAAGAAAGCGGGGAGGATGAAGGAGTGGGGTGCGGTGCTTGTGGCGTTTCAGTAGGTGGTGAGCCTAGCAAGGAGGTGTCTGCACCGGGGTTTGGTGGCACAGGAAACGGCAGCAGCAGAGGGAGAGGAGCAACGGGGAAGGGAAAGCAGGCGTATGGAGTGGCTACACTTCGTTCTGATGCGGTTGAGATGGATACAGATGGGGAGGGAGACGAAGGGGAGAGACGACTAGAAGTGAGACTAGACAGTTTGGAAGGAGAAGAGGAGGTGAGCGCAGGGGAAACCGTTGTCCTCGTTATAGGCAGCGGAAACACTGGCCTTACAACGGGGGTTGTCATGACTCCAGGCAGAACGAGGCGGAAGAGAGAGGGGGGAAGGACGGGGGGCCGGGGGAGAGGTGGAGGTGCGGGCATGGGGCAAGGCAGGGTGAGAGGGACGGTGGGAGAGAGAATACGACAGCTGGAGATAGCAGCAGCAAGTGCGGCTGCCGCTGCAGGTGTGGGGAGGGGTGCGGTTGCAGGGAGGAAAGGGAGAGGAGGAGCAGCTGGAGTTGCTGCTGCTGCTGCTACTGGTGGTGATGCTGCTGCTGCTGGTGGTGCTGGTGGCAGGGTTAATGCTCGTAGAGAGTGGGGCCCCAAGGGGAGGAAAGCTGCAGGGCTTGCTGGGGAGACAGTAGGAGCAGAGATTGGCAGTGGGAAGAGGAAGGAGCAGGGGATTGAAGGTTGTGGTGAGAATAAGAACGGGGATGGGGATGGGGACGGGGGATGTAGTGGGGAGGATGCATTGGGAAAGGGCTTGGGTGTGGGAATGGGGGGTTTACCGGTGCTTACTGTGGGAGGAGCAGACAGCCGAGCGGTTTTTGAGGGTGCTGTTGTGAGTATTGCCGCTCGCAGTGCTGGTACACGCGGGGCGGCAGGGGCGGCAAGGGGGAGAAAGGGAGGGAAGAAGGGGAGTGGTGCGGGAGAAAGGAGGTTGTCTGGAGCAGGATGGTCGTCGGGAGGAGAAGGGGAGGGCAAGAGGAGCAGGGGGAAGGGTGGTGGTGGTGGTGGTGGTGAGGGCGAATCAGTGGTGGTGGAATGCTGGAAAGAGGATGAAGCAGTGGATACTTGTGAGGGGAATGTGGTAACACGGTTACTGGGATACAAGGGAGCAGAGAGTCCTGATCAAGGTGGCATGGCTTCTCAAGAGGAACGAGCGTCAGTGTGTGACGAGAGACGAGACGAGATAAGAGAGGGGATGAGAGAGGGGAAGAGCGATGAGATGAGAGACGACACGAGGGACACGACGAGAGGGGAGATGATTATGAGAGGAGGGGGTTTGGAAGAGTGTGGACAAGGGGTGGTGGAGGGAGGACAGCGCGTGCTGGTTAGTGAAGGAGGGTTGTATCTTCGAGAAGGAAAGGAGCTGGGGGTGGAGGTGGAGAGAAGGGAAGCGGACGAGGAAGAAGAAGCAGGAGAGGGGGAGGAGTGTGACGAGGAGGAGGAGGAAGAGAGGGAGGGGGAGGTTGTGTGTCACGAGCTGCGACTGAGTGTGGAAATGGAGGAGCAAGCGAGACAGGCGTTGGAGGGGGGAGAGAGTGTGCTGCTGGTTGATGACGTGTCAGGACGGGCCTATCAGCTGCTGCCAGCTGTCGTCGTGGAGGGGGTGGGCGTGGATGGAGGGAGGGAGGAGGGGGAAGGTAGTGATGAGGAAGAGGAGGAGGAAGAGGAGGAGGATGGGGATGAGGGTGAGTGTGATTGTGGGGAGGAGGAGGTGGAGGAGGAAGAAGGGAAGGAGGGTTCAGATAAAAAGAGGGAGGCAATGGTGATGGAGGCAGTGGAATGGGAGGAGGATGGAGGGGAGGATGATAAGGAAAAGGAGGAACTGAGGGACGAGGAACGAGAGGATGCGCGGGAGGGGGAGGAAGAGAAGAGGAGGATGGAGGAGGAGGAGAGGAGAGGGATGGAGAGGGGAGAGTGGGAAAGGAGGGGACAGGAGGAAGTAGCTGGTGGAGAGGAGGCATGGACAGCAGAATCTGGCGTTGCTGGTGCTAGTGAGAGAGGAGATGATGGGGCAGGTGGGCCCGGTGGGGCAGGTGGGGCAGGTGGGCCCGGTGGGGCAGGTGGGGCAGGTGGGGCAGGTGGGCTAGCTGAGGCTGGTGGTCCCTATGTCGGGCGGTCTCTCTCGTCCCTATCTGGCGACTTGTCTTTCTGCGGGAGCTTGGAGGATGCAGGGACTATCGGCGACACCAGCGTTGGCACCGAGAGGGGTAGCTGTAGCATCTATAGCCGTGTGGTTGATGGAGAGGGGTATGGGTTTCCGGAGAGGACGAGAGGGTATCTGTCAGCAGCAGCGACGGCAGCAGCAGGGGCAGCGTATTTTGAGGCGCCTCAAGAGGGGTATGTGTTTCCAGAGAGGTCGAGTGGGTGCGTGTTTGAAGCAGCGGCAGCAACAGCAGTGGCAGCAGCCGCAGCAGCCGCTGCAGCAGCAGCAGAGCAAGCAGCAGCAGAGAGAGCAGCAGCGGAAAGAGCAGAGGAGGCGTTAGCAGAAGAACCACTGCGGCAGGTGGTAACTGGAGCAGGTAGGAGGTCTGGTAACAGCAGTGGCAACGGTAATGCCAATGGCAGTGGCAGTGGCAGCGGCAGGAGCAGCAGCAACCAGCCTGGCCGTCATGGTCCCAGAGCTGGTGCCGCCTCAAGCCTCGACTCCTCGACACACAACCTCGCGCAAAAACACCTCTCACACCCTTCCTCCTCCTCCGTTTCCTCCTCCTCCGCCTCCCCGCCCCAATCTATCTTCTCTACCTCCTCTGCTGTCCGCCGCACTGTGGCGGTGAAACAGTGGATCGACTCCCAGCCAATGGCGTCGCAGCTCGACCCTGTTGCAGAATCAAATCTTGAATCGAATCCGGAGCAGAATTTTGATGCCAGATTTGAGCCGCCGACTGAGATCGTGCCAGTATTAGAAGCAGAAGAAGACGAAGTGCTCATCCTACCCTCAGCAGCAGCAGCTGCAGCCGCAGCCGCAGCCGCCGCAGCAGCAGCAGCGTCTGCTTTTGCTCCCGCTCCCACTGCTGGCCTGGGAAACCCTTCTAGTGCTGCTCGCACAGACCACCCTTCGCTATTGTCACACAGCTCAGCCCGTCAAGCCGCTCGTTACAGTCACAACAATCACCAGATTCCCCGGGCCATGCCGCCCAACCAGTGCTTCCTAACTCCTGTGCGCATTGCTGCTCGTCGGGGGCTGTTTCGGAACGAGTGTGTGGCTCCTGCTGTGCTGGGAGCAGGAAACCACTCCCGAGGTGCTCCTGGGGCGTTGGGAGTGGGGAGTCAAAACAACCCCCACGGAGGAGGTCACTTTTCACAGTCGCGGAGTGAAAACCGTACCAGGGGTGGTGGAAATAGTAGGGTGAGTGGGAGTCAGACTATGGATGGCGGGCGCGGGGTGAGGAGGGCGGGTGAGAGGTTGAGAGGAAGGAGTGAGGGTGGTAGAGGGGGTGGTGAGGAGATTGGGATGGGGAATCAGCGAGCTACATTGAGGCCTGTTGGGGGGTTGAGATCTGGGGAGGTGAGGCGAGAGGGAGGGGCAGAGGGGAGTGTTGGGGGAGTTGCGGATGTTGGGATAAGGGGGAGTGCGGCAAGGGGGAGAGTGGTGGGAGGGGCAGAATCAGGGGTAGATGGAAGCTTGGGAATGGCAGCAGGTGGATTAGAGGGAGAAGGATCAGGACCAGGAGGAGATATGTCTGTGGTAGGGGAGGGGAGGGAGGGGGTAGGTAGTGCTGGTGGTGCTGACAACACAAGGCGTGGAAGAGGAGGGAGGGGGGTGAGAGGGGGAGGAGCAGCGAGAAGAGGGAGAGGGAGAGGAGGAGAAAGAACGAGGGCAGAGAATGCATTGCACGAGATACAAGAGGAGGAGAGGCAGGACGAGTTGCCGGACCAGGGAGAAGAGGAGTGCAGAGCTGCAGAAGGAGAGGGAGAAGCAGAAGGAGAGGGAGAAGCAGGAGGAGACTATCTGAGCGATGCAGCCACGCGCCTTTCCTCGGTGCATGCGGACGCTCGTTTCTCTAGGCTGCCTTCCGTGCGGCATGTGGTGGAGGAGGGAGAGTGTGATGGCAGGGTACAGGGAAGGGGGGCGGGCAGTGAGCGGGCGCCGCGGCGCTGGTGGCTCCTCACCGGCTCCTCGGCTTACCTGTGTGTGGCGTGCCCTGTGGTGCTGCGCCCTGTGCGCCCTGTGCACAGGACCACGGGCACGGGCACTGGTACTGGCACTGGCACTGGCACTGGCACTGGCACTGGCACTGGCACTGGCACTGGCACTGGCACTGGCACTGGCACTGGCACTGGCACTGGCACTGGCACTGGCACTGGCACTGGCATTGGCACTGGCACTGGCATTGGCACTGGCACTGGCACTGGCACTGGCACTGGCACTGGCACTTGCACGGGCACTGGCACTGGCACTGGCACTGGCACTGGCAGATCACTCTGCTTTAGGCAGGATGACGTTGGTGATGGTGATGGATCAGAGGATGTGGGAATCGGTGGAGGAGGTGGTGTGGCTGGGAGAGTGCCTGCTGCTCCTTGCTCGTCGCCTCGTGATTCGCCGAGGGAAGGTGCTGATGTGGCTGAGTGGCGTGTAAACGGGGCAGGAGAAGCTGGAGAAGGCGAGATGGAAGAAGTAGGAGGAACAGGAGGAGCAGAGCGGAGAGCAGTGCGAGCAGCAACGGCAGAAGAAGTGAGTGAAGAGGAAGAGGATGAGGAAGAGGACAAAGGGGAGACATGGCACATGTGCATGAGAAGGAGAGTGCGCACTAGAGAAGGTGGGGTAATTGGTAGAAGGGCAGGAGGGAGACACGGAGAAGGTGAACATGTTAACAGGGAAGGTGAAGGTGATTACCCGGATGGAGTAGATGCAGCAAATACCGAGACTGCTTTTAATGGGGATATTTCTGCTGCCAGTGCTGGGGGCGTTGCTGCTACACAGGTGCATGGGGCATCAGCTGCAAGTGCAACTGCGCATGCCTTGAGTGCTCGCAGTGGAGAGGGCATGAGGAGCCGAGCCTTGTGGCGCTGGCAGCAGCAGCAGCAGCGCCTGAGGAACCAGTTCTCGCCCCTCCCCTCCCTCCTCTCCTCCCCCTCCCATGCCCCTCGCACCGGCCAATCCCATCGTGACGCGCGGCCCCGTGCGCTGAGCCAGAGCCAGCAGAATCCGCGTCAGCAGCTGCCAGAGCAGCAGGAGGTGGGTTCGGGGCAGCAGCATCTCGTGCCAGGTCAGCTTCTGCTGAGTCAGCAGCAGTCTGCGTCGAGTCAGCGCAGGTTGGGTCGGCGTCGCGTGTCTGTGCATGGGCTAGCGGGCAGGCAAGTCAGGCAGAGAGGAAGTGGAGGGGACAGAAGAGCAACGGGGGCTGCGCCAGGGGCACGATCGGAGGGAGTGCAGAGCGGTGATAGTGATCTGGAGGCGAATGAAACAGATAGGAGGGGTGGAGCGATGGAGGGTGAAGAGGAAGAAAATATTCCTGCAGAACCTGAGGGTGGAGTTAGTGACAACGTGAGAAGGGTTGCGGCAGAAGAAAGGGAGGACGCTTTAGGAGCAGTAGAAGAGAGGAGTGCTGCTTTGGGAGTAGTCGAAGAGAGCGAGGCGAACAGTGGTTCGGGAGCGTTGCTACGGCAAGCAGGGAGTGGTGGTTCGGGAGAGATTGAGGAGACCACAGGGGTGGCTGTAGAGAGGGGGAGGGAGAGGTTAGGTGGTGAGGAGGTGGTGAGGACAGCTGGGGATGCAGCAGCAGGAGACTCAGAGGTAGATACATCAGGAGGTACAGGAGTGGCAGGGGCAGGGGGGGAGTTGGTGAGCTGTGGTGCTGCAAACAGTGTTGTGAACGGAGTCTGCTCACCTGCCGAGCCTACAGCATCGGGTGAAAGTTCGGCAGAAGGTGAGGAGGTTGGGGAACCGATTGGATCGGAGAATGTGTTGGAAGAGGGTGGCTGTCTGCAAGAAGCCGGCTCTTTGAACGAGCAAGGCGCTCGGGACGACAATGCAAGGAACGAGGAATGCTCTGAGGGAGTGGAAGACCGTGGTGTTAGTGACAGGCTAGCGGTCGGTTTGGCAGTGGCAGTGGGGGCAGCAGCAGGCAGCAGCAGAGGTGCAATTTGTGAGGTGCAGCAACAGGCGGTTGGCATTGCAGAGCCGGCCGAGGGTATTGACATAGCAGGGGGTGTGCCATCAGGTTGTGGTGCGAATGCAGTTGTGGCTTCTTTTGTACCAGCAGCCATCGCCCCTTCAGACGTCGATGAGGGTGGGACTCAACCACCCTGTGCCGCTGCTTGTACTGGTGAGACACCTCGTTCAGCGCCGGATGCAGCACCTGATGCGGCTCCTGGCACAAGACAAGTCCAAACACCTGAGGAAGCACCTGAAGCTGGTAGCAGCCAGACAGCGTCAACAGCAGCCACAGGTCCCTATGCCAACTCACCAGCCAATGCCACACTGGCTTCACAGCAACCACTCTCCACCCCTCTCTTTGCAGCAGAGTGGAATGCCGCAGCAACCATGTACCCTGCTTTTGTTGCACCTCCCCCCATCGCACCGCACTCCATTGCACCTCCCTATACTGCACCTCACACCACTGCATCTCCCTCTATTGCACCTCACACCATTGCACCTCCCACTATTGCACCTCACACCATCGCACCTTCCCCCGTCGCGCCTCCCCCCATCGCACCTTCCCCCGTCGCGCCTCCCCCTATCGCACCCCACCCCATCGCGCCTCCCCCTATCGCACCTCCCCCTGTTGCACCTGCCCCTTTCCCGTCAACACTTTCCATGCCCAGTCCCTCTTCCATTGGCGAAGCAGCAGCAGGTGCTTTCCATTCATTCGTTCATTCGAACACAGATGCGCCACAGCCACAGGGTTATCAGGTTACCGTGTTACCACAAGCACCATCCATGGGTACACCACCACAGGTGCTGCTGCCTTACACTCATGACACACAGCAGACCTCACTAAAGGCCTTACAGCCTGCCTTACAGCAGACAATACTGCAGCAATCTATAGGCATACAGCTCCTCCCCTCTATGGGTCAGGAGCCTTCGCATTCCACACCCTCCAATCCATTTGAGTTCAGCCTTGCTCCTGTCCCCCACGCTCCCACTAATCCGTTTGACCCATCCCATCCGTCCAATCTGCCAACTTGTGATCCAACCCCGGTGCCGATGCTGGCCGTCAGCTATGCTGCTTCTGCTGGGTATTCCCTTTCTACCCCTCCTGTCCTTTCTGCCCCTCCTGCTGTATTCGCCCCGGGCCCCCCTGTGCCCTGGCATCAGACATACCAACAGCATGATAATGGGCCGTTGCCAGGTGCAACAGCAGCAGCTGGGGCAGAAACAGCAGCAGGGGCAACAGCAACAGCAGGCGCAGGCGCAATGGCTGCAGCAGCATTGTCTCCCACAACTGAGTGGGTTCTGTTTTCCCCGGCACGAGGCGAGGAGGCAGGCACTGCAGCAAGCGCTGCGCCGTTAACAGCTGTAGCAGCGGCAGCGTCAGCGGCACCAGCAGCAGCAGCGGCACCGGCAGCAGCTGTAGCAAGTCAGTGGACAGCAGTTGGAGCACCAGAAGGAGCTAGTGGATTTGGGGAGAACAGAGGGGTGGCAGAGGAAGGGAGAGAGGGGGGCAATTGGAGAGTGGCAGCAGTGGAGGGGAGAGAGGAGGCAGAGGGGGGGCGAGCAGGAGCAGAGGTGACGAGAGTGGTTGCGCCAGAAAGGGTAAGTCCTGCTCGTTTCCGCAGGGTGGTGAGTTCAGGTGCCACACAGATGACCACTGTCAATACCGCCTTGCCTGTGCCCACGGGAGCACGCATGGGCTCCCCATTGGCTCGAAGGGGGAGAGATGGCCACACAGGCGCTGGGGTGTTGCATTCAAGCAACAGCTTTAGCGGTGGTGGTGCTGTTGGGAGTAGTGGTGCTGCTGGTGGTGAGGGTGTGAGTGGTGTGACTGGTGGCAGCAGCCGAGGGGAGGTGGTCTTGAGGATGCACGAGCAGAGGCAGCAGCAGCGGCAGCGTCTCCTGCTGCTTCGGCTGCAGCGCATGCTGTTGACCCGTGGCGAATCACCTATTAACGAGGATGGAGAAGCAGGAGAAGGGGAGGAGAGCCAGCAGCAGAGTCTGACCCACCAGCAGCAGCACCAGCTGTACGAGCAGTTGCAGCAGAGCCGTGGAGGAGGCAGGGACGAACAGGCACTGATTGATGCTGCGATTGAGCAAGCCCTCTTCGGCTCCTCCTCCTCATCCACTCTGCTTACCAGCAGTTCTGCTACCGCTGCTGCTGCTCCAGGTTCTAGTGGTATCGATTCTTCTCGTCCTGCTGTCTCAATGAGGCTTCCAGCATCAGCGCGTGTCGTGGCAGCAATGGCAGCAGCAGGAACAAATGCTGGGGCAGGGAGTGGCATCGGCATTGGAACAGCAGGTACTGTAGCAGGTGCTGTAGGGGGTAATGTAGCACGTAGCACATCAGGTACTGTAGCAGGCAGTGTAGCAGGAGCAGGAGTGCCACTGGTAGCAGTGCTGGGAGGCCCGCCGATTCAAGTGTCATCCAGGCGAACCCAGAGCCCTGCTCTCACCCACACACACGCTTGGGGGGGCGGGGTATCCAGCAGCAGAAGGCAAGTTGGGGTGGAACGACAGAGGGGAGGAGCAGAGGAGCAGGAAGAGGAGGGGCGCAGGGGTAGGCGTGGGGGAGGAGCGGTAAGAGGGAGAAGAGGGGGAGAGAGTATAGTAGGAACAGTAGCTGGAGAGGATGTTGAGGCGAGTGGAGAAGAGGAAGGGGAGCCTGGGGAGGCGGTGTGCTGTGTGTGCATGGAGAGGCCGAGGAAGGCAGCGTTTGTGCCGTGTGGTCACATGCTGTGCCGCATGTGTGCTCAAGAGGTCAGGGACCGGCGCGGCAAGTGCCCTCTCTGCAATAGGAAAATCAAGGATGTGCTTAAATTGTACTGATAAGTCCACTGTTTTGACATTGTGGTCCGTGGTAAATATCCAACTTTATTATTAATCCTTATACGGTACTGTTATTACCATGGTCTGCAGAAAGAAAGGAAAACAGTTGCGAATGTTTGTTGTACACAACAAAGCCTATTAAATAGCAAATGAGCAGTTAGAAGCAGGGAGCATTCGCCTGAAACTCACGGGACAAACCCAGATAGCTTATTTCTTGAAGTAGAAAACATCCACTCCAGGAAGAGCCGGCTTCACTCTGTCTACCATCCAATAATCTGCAAGCCCAACATCTTCCAGGCTGGGAAGAGCTCTCAAACACGCAATGCCATATTCACCAAATGGTGATTTTAAATAGATAGTCTTGAGATTCCGAAAGCATATCAGATGCTGGAGTCCCTGTTCAGTGATGTACTCTGGGAGGCAGAGCCAAGAGAGTTTCGTCAAAGGCCGAAGATGTGGCAGTGCGCCATCTGACACCAACGAATTCCCAAGATCCAACGTTTGAAGCCATGTCAGCTTCCCTAGATTTGCAAGTCCTGCAGAGGAGAAAGTAAGACTGTCATAGGAACACGAGCAGTTATAGCTGCGAGAGAAGAAGAGGTCTTCAAGGGAGCTTAGAGATGTCAAATGTCCAAGCCCAACTTCTGTAACTGCAGTCTCAATCAAATTCAGCCGATGCAGATTCGGCAAATGGCTGATTCCCAAAATCACAGAATCATCAACTTTGGTTGATTGTAACTTCAGCTCCTCCAACCAGGGCATTGATGGAAGGTATTTTAAGGCGGCTTCATTGACAGATCCGCAAATGCTGAGGCTCTTCAGGGATGTCATGCAGGCGAGGCGATAACTGCCAATGGCAGATAAGGGTTCAAGGTTACTGAGTTCCACTTTGGTAGTATCCGTGGCCCGTATGATCTTTTTATCCGCATCGGTAGTTTGCTGACAAGAAGCCAATGTAATAGCCTGAAATGAAACTAAAAATAAATATTAGGTACTGAGATTGAGCAGATAAACTCGTATACAGTACCAGCATTTCTCACCTCCCAAATCTGAATCACTTCTCGCTTCTGCTGTACCAGCGCTGTCTCTGCTTCCGATAATCGTGCTCTCAGTGCCGTGACCTCCTTTTCCTTCTCTGTTTCTACCTGCGAAATCCGTGCTGCCAGTGCAGCCATCTCTTTCCTCTGAACTGTCTCTGCCTGCGATACTCGTGTTGTCAAAGCAGCCAACTCTTTTTTCTTCTTCGCTTCTGCCTCCAAATATCGTGCCTTCAGATCAGCTATTTCCTTATCCTTCTCCTGCTTACCCGTATCACAAGCTAACTTAAGCACCCGCTCATTAATGCTACTTCTACTGGCCCTATTTATTGCTTCCAAAGCGACCACTCTCTCCCTCAAACCTTCCATCGCTGCCTCCACACTTCCCACTCTCTCATTGATCCTTACCCTCTGCTCGTTTTCTTCGTCCTCTAAATCCAGCCTAATTTCGTCAAACCGAATCGCTAATCGCATTGCTCCCCTTGTAACTTCTTCCAGAAGGACTTCGGTTGCCGTCTCCATTGTGAGCTCAATCTGACGTGACGTGGAAGGAACTCCTGAAGCAGCTGGATTGATCAGAATCTAGGTAGCTCGGCAGGCTCTTTTCCAAGGGGAACGATTAGAAAATGTTTGGGAATTTGCTTCTGCGTGGCATCTCTGGTATAAGCTTGATTGGCTACTTCTCATGTCACATCTGGAACGTGTTGAGCCCCTGCTTGCCAGGATCAACTTCACCGCACTGAATCCTACTAAAACTCTTAAACCACATCAGGGGAGTAGCGACAAACGATTGGCGATGCGTTGACGAAATAAAAGCTCCCTAGTTACTCGCAGTCTCGGATTTTGTTTCGCCTTACAGGAACCCCTTCCATTACCGTCCATCACACCAGAGGCGAAACTTCGCATCTACGAAACGTTCGCACGATCAACCCCACCGCCAGCCTCCCACCGAAAACGGTGAGATAGTCAAGCCCAAGACATTTCTCGTTTCTCCATTATCCCTCCCTCCATGAACCACACTGGATGCGAGGCGGGTGTGTGTGACCAATCGAAGTCACCGAGAGACCACCTGCGCTCTAGGCTCCCTGAGCGAACATAAAACCATTTTTGGAGCCGCGCGTTGCTTTCGTATCCTCGTCGATTTGATCTTCCGAGGACCGTGAGCCTTAAACTCTGAGTGCGACGCGCAAAAGCCTGCTTAATTTGTTTACACAGCATGATCTATAAACCGAGGACCGAGGCCACGCATAGTTTTCATTCCAGTAGGCTGCAGCTGAGTTATCCCTCAGTTTCCAACGTCCGCAACCCCAAAACTGCTCGACACTTTTCCCTTCGCTTGACAAAAGCGCCAGACGAACGTTGAGCATTAAAAGACGACCGTCTCCCGTATCACTGGTTCCACAGCTTTTCGAAATATTCGTTCAAAGCGCTCCACTAAATCCTTTCAACTAATAATTGCGCTACACTAGCGTCAGCTGCAGACCCTGCAGCATCTAGTTCCTTCCGTTTCTTGCTTGTAGCTTGACCCGTAGAACCCGTGCATATCTCACAATGCGTCCAGATTCAGTGCTTCGCGTGACGCTTGCTGGGCTCTGTACAGTCACACTATCTACTAGCCTCTCACCAGCGCAGCACCCCAAGTACCATGCTCGCGGAACGAGGTGCCAAGCCTTCGGACGAGGCTCGGGCCGAACCTCGTCCTCAGCTCTGTTCACCCAGCTTCTCCTCCTCGTTTCACTCTCCCTCTGTACAAATCTCCTAAGCTCGCTTGCATATGCCACCGGCGGCCAAGCACACAATATCTCCCTGTCGGATCCCAACGTAGTAGGCGGAAAAGACGCACGCGTCGATTGTATGCGTGCTTCAGGTTCAGAGACGGAGGATGATTCTGAGCGGATCGGGAAGAGGCGATCACTGTTCCGCTGGTGGGCTGGATCTAAGAAGGCAAAACAGGTGGGTGACAGACAGGTGGGCTTGCAGTCCCGAGACTAAATTCTCCAGGAACCCTCTGTGTTTCATGGCTCCACATGTGCATTTGTGCTCAGCGCATTCCGAAACCAGCCAAACAACTTCTCGCGACAGCATCAGAGTCGTGTGGTCAATCCCTTACCACATCACATCTTGCATATCTGTCTCTTCCCTGTGCCGCTCTTGACTCGCCCATTCCCCTGGGTCACATAGCCCTAGCCTTCTTTAACAGCATCAGAGTCATGCGGTCAATTCTTACCACATCGCTACTCTCAATCCCGTTTCTGTCTCCCTGTGCCTCTCTTGACTCGCCCATTCCCCAGGTGCACATAGCTCTAGCCGGCCGCAACAGCATCAGAGTCAGTCAATCTCTTATCACGTCCCTATGCTCCATTTGGTTTCTATCGCTTCCCTACTCCTCTCTTCTCTCGCCCATTCTCTAGGTGCACATAGCTCTAGCCGGTCCCAACAGCATCAGAGTCATGTGGTCAACGTCCCGCCGCGGTACGCCGTCATTGGTGGAATTCGGGGTAACTTCTGGGCAATACACCAATAAGGCCAAGGGGAAGTCTTCCAGCTACACCTTTCTGACCTATTCGTAAGTACACAAATAGAAATGTTATTCCTTGTCTTTCCCATTGCTTGCTTCGCTCATACACCTTACTTCTCTTTTTTCGTGCTCCAGTCCTGGTCAACCCTTTGCCGTCCCATGAATGCGTTTCGTACCAGAGTCACCTTTTCTTGCTTCACGTTCCAACCCTCCACTAGCCACCACCTGTTATTGCTATCGATTTGCGGGAGAGACACCACTGATCGCAACGATCCCTCGTGATAAAAGCTGCATTTTGAGACGTCTCAAAATGCAACTTTTATCACGGGAGAGACACCACCGATCGCAACGATCCCTTGTAATATTCTCCCTTCATTATTTCCCCTCCCCTCCCGTTCCTCCCTCTCCCCCCCTTCCCATTCCTTTCGTGTGGTAATCCTCTCCCCCCCTTCCCATTCCTCCCTCCATCTTTTCCTTTTCCCCATCCCACCACCTGTGCAGGTTCCATTAGCTGCACAGTGCAGTGCTCTCGGAACCACCTACCATTCTCACCTCAAAAGGAAGGGCCCTACAGCTCTTACGGGTAATCCCTTCCCTTCCCCTCACATTCCTCCCTCTCTTGTCCCCCTCCCCCATCCCAACACCTGTGCAGATCGGACCAGCTGCGCAGTGCAGTGCTATCGATTCTCCAACCCCAATCCACCTACTACTACCGCATCGCTGGGGAGGGGCCGCAACGGTCCTTCGTACTCCCCTACCCTCACATCCCAACCTCCGTCTTCCCCTTGGCCCATCTCATCTCATGTGTAGGTCGGACCAGCTGCACAGCGTAGTGCTTTCGGGCCTGCAACCCCAATCCACCTACTACTACCGCATCGCAGGGGAGGGACCAGAGCGGTCCTTTGTGACGCCGCCCACCGATGCCGCTGCTGATGTCAGCATCGCTGTTGTTGGTGAGAGCTGGTGTGGCAGTTGGCGGGAGCGGGTGGGAGTGGGTGGGAGTGGGTGGGGTTGGGTGGGTTGTGATGCCACCCACCTCTAGAGTCAGGACCTCAGGTGCAGTGCGGTTAGGATGGCTGGAGAATAAGGGATGTTGAAGTCAGCATTGCTGTTGTTGTTGATGGGTGGTGGCATCAGCGTTTGTTCATCCTCTTCCTCCTTCCCATTCCTCTCCCTTGCGGTGTTTTCTCTCCTTCCAGTTGACATTGGCCTGTCCAAGGCAGCACGCACAACCATCATCCGTCTCCCCAGCAGCCCCACTCCCTCACCCTCCTCTTCACTCCTCTGCATTCCTCCACTCTCCCACCTTGCATCCCTTCCAGGTGACATTGCTCTCTCTAAAGAAGCTTGCACAGCCATCACCCGACTCGCCCAGCAGCCCCACCCTCACCCTCGTCCCAGGAGACCTCTCCTACACCAACGACTTCCCTTACTCTGCCTTCCCCCTCTCATTGCTTGCATCCCTTCCAGGTGACATTGGTCTCTCTAAGGCAGCCCGCACAACCATCACGCGTCTCTCCCAGCAGCCCCACTCCCTCACCCTCGTCCCTGGCGATCTTTCCTATGCCAACGGCTTCCAATCCGTGTGGGACAGGTGGCAGTCTCTGATTGAACCAGACGCCAGCACACACCCCTGGATGGTCGTCCCCGGAAACCACGAAGCCGAGGCACTTAGCGCGATCAGCCCAAAGGGGTTTGAGTGGCCCGCGTTTCTTAAGCGATCCGCTTTGCTAAACGGCGGCGCTTTCCGGGCGTATAAGAAGCGGTGGGTCATGCCATCTGCTGCTAGCGGGTCGCCTTCTAAGCTGTACTACTCTTTTGAAGTAGGTGGGGCGCATGTCATCGTGCTCTCCTGCTACTCGCCGTTCGGTCCCGACTCCAAGCAGTTCGAATGGCTACAGGTGAGATACTTCTAAAGAAACGGCTGCAATGCCTACTGAATCGCCTTCTGAGCTGTCTGTACGACTCGTTTGAGGTGGGAGGGGCGCATATCATCGTGCTCTCCTGCTCTGACTAGCGCAAATGGCTGGTGGTGAGATGGCTGGTGATGAGATGGCTGGTGGTGAGATGGCTGGTGATGAGATGGCTGCAGGTGAGATGGCTGCAGGTGAGATGGCTGTTGTTATCTCTCCACGAGCCCTGTTTGTACTCCTCCAACCAAGTGCCACCACCACATGCGTTCCCACTCTCACCGCTCTGCGCCCATCCATATCTTTTTGTACCTTTCCCTGCAGAGGAATCTATCAACCTTGGATCGGTCCAGAACACCCTGCCTGGTGGTATCTCTGCACGAGCCCTGTTACCACTCCAACAGCGACCACAACAACACTCAGTCTCACCGCTCTGCACCCATTTGTGTCCCTCCGTACCGTACTTTTCAGATGGACCTGTCAAGTGTCGATCGCTCGAGAACCCCCTGGCTCGTGGTATCTTTGAACGAGCCTGGTATCACTCTAACAGCAACCACCAGACACCCACTCTCACCACTCTGCACCCATATTTGTCCCTCCGTCCCATCCCCTCATCCCTTCCCTTTCAGAGAGACCTATCAAGCGTGGATTGGACCAGAACACCCTGCCTGGTGGTATCCCTGCACGAGCCCTGGTACCACTTCAATGCGACCACCACGTACATAACCATTTTCACCCCTCTGCACCCCTCCGTATCCCACTATACTCGCCATTCTCAGAAGGACCTATCAAGTGTCGTCACTCGAGAACACCCTGGCTGGTGGTGTCTCTGCACGAGCCCTGGTACCACTCTAACAGCGACCACCAGACATTCGGGCAGGACATGCGGAAGGCCCCCTAAACGAGACGCTCACCGCTCTGCACCCATCTCTGCCCCTCCAAATCTTCCCCTCGTATTTTCAGAAGGACTTATCAGCCGTGGATCGCACCAAAACACCCTGGCTGGTGGTGTCTCTGCACGAGCCCTGGTACCACTCCAACAGCGATCATCAGACAGACGGACAGGATATGAGGAAGGCCCTGGAAGAGACGCTGTATGCCGCCCGCGTTGACATTCTGATCACCGGCCACGTGCATGCGTACGAACGAACGGTGAGTTGTAACGATTGTTTTATCGGCTTCAAACCCCAAACTCGCTCGATATATTGACGATTTTTTAGTCCACTAAAAACTCGCTCTACACCTTGACATGCTGATCACCGGTCATGTACTTTAGAGGCGCCTCAAAACTCAAAGGTCATGTAGATGAGACGAACGCATGGTGGGTTGTAACGATTGTTGTAATGTCCATTGTAACGATTCTTGTAACGGATTAATTATATTGCCACGCTTCTGTGGGACCACTCACATCGTCACACCCCACGTTCAGCCTATTCTTTCCCTTAAGTCACCTCCATTCTCATCCCTTCTCCCCCATCTCCACCTCTTCAGACCCGTGTGTACAACGGTCAGGAGGACCCTTGTGGGATCATGCACATCACCGTTGGGAGCGGCGGAAAGGATCTATACCCTAGGTATGTCAGTTTTTCTATCGACTAAAAAACAGACTCACTGTTGGAAGTGGCGGGAAGGATCTATACCCTAGGTATTTCAGCTGTACCTGGACAAACCAGCCCTTGAACCTGCACCTGCACCCTGCACCCTGCACCCTGTACCCTGCACCCTGCACCCTGCACCTTTCACCCTGCACCTGCACCCTGCACCCTGCACCCTGATTAATCCACCTGTACTGGGAGATATCAAATGGATCGTATTCTGATAACTGAATATATCCGCAGCATATCCTGGGTATGCCAGATGTATTTCAAAACAATGTCGAGATCAAATGATGCTGCAGGGTGTTTTTTGAGAATTCTACTCTTCTGAGAATTCCACTTTTTTTAGATTTCTACTCTGTTGAGAAGTCTACCCTGCAGCATCATGTATTTCAAAACAATGTCGAGATCAAATGAACACCCTAATCAAATTCCTCTCTCCTCCCTTCCCCCCACCCCTCCCTTCCTTCCTCTCAGCTTCGTCTCCCCCAAGCCTGCATGGTCGGCCTTTCGTGAAGCAGCCTTTGGCTTTGCTCTCTTCAAGATTGGTGGCAGTGCAGCAGGGGAAGCGGACTGGGAGTGGCAACAAAACGACGATTCCCCCACTGTTGCTGCCGACTCGGCTCGCCTAGTCAGCCTTGCCAGTGCCTCTACTCCTGCTGAATGCCGGCTTGCGTGATATGTGGTTCAAAGGGATGTAAAAGGGTGGGAAGAGGTGGCAGAGCAGCAGGGGAGGCGCATTGGGAATGGCATCGCAATAACAACTCTCCTGCTGTTGCTGAGAACTCTGCTCACCTTGTCAGCCTGTCCAGCAGCCCTGCACCTGCTGAATGCTGGCCACTGTGATGTGCGGTTCAAAGGGGTGTAAAAACAGGAGGGGTGGGTGGGGGGAGTGTAGACCACTATAGCAGTGTAGGGGTGTTGCTCTGGTCAACGGGGAATGGGAGGGTTTGGTGTTGCAATGCTGTATTTCCCTGTTGATCCGAGCAACATTGTTCCTCTTCCACTTACCATGCTTGCTTTTAGCTGAGACTCCAGTATTTGTACATTGACTGATGTTCATGAGTATAAGGTGTTACTAGGCCGCTTTTCACACTGCTAGCCACTCTGTTTATGAGTTTTTCTCTTGTTAACAGTTTCTGGAATCTAAACAGCGCAGCAGCTGCGTCTGCTCTCACAGGCTCCATTTGGAACATGTTTTCATGAGTGGCAGCTCTAACACTCTCCAGGAAAACTCATCTATTTATTTTTTATTGTGGTGCACGAGAACAGACAACCACAAGTACGCACAGTCTGTAAACAGAAAACTTTCAGCCCACTCCTCCCTACACTCCTATCAGGCCACTTCTCCCTACACATTGTCTTCCTGCACCAGGCACTTCTTATTCTTATTGATGCAGTCTGTAACGAGGCGAGCCAGCACCTTCTGATCCCACCCGTTGATGAAATCGCTGTGGTACTCATACGGGCTACCAGTTCCACCGCTCTGCACCGTTGACAAATACACCGCAGGGTTCCCCTTCACCCCATCTTTCGGCCACGTCAAATCCAAATCGTGGCTGACCGGGTAATAAACCTTGATGCTGATTCGCGGGAGCGGGACGGGATGGGACGAAGGACACGTGGTGTTGAGCGGTATATGCACCACGTGGCTTCGGTGATCCGCGCTGTCGATATTCTTGCCGTCCCAGCAGACCGGGAAGTTGATTTTCGCAATCAGCTGGTCCCCCTTGGGGCACTTCTGGTGGGGGAAGTCGTTGAAGTGCGTGCCGCGCGCGCCGCACCACCACTCCACGTTCGCGAGATCGTTGGCTTGCTTCTGGGGTGTGTGGGGCGCGGTGGAGGTGGGAGGGGAATGGGGAAGGGCGGGGTTGTTCAGAGGGGTTTGCCGCGATCAGCTGGTCTTCTTCGGGGCACTTCTGATGCGGAAAGTCGTTGGCGTGCGTGCCGCGCGCACCGCAGCAGTAGTAGCACGAGTGGCAAAAAACGCACATTGCCGGCGGAGGGGTTGCCAGTGAGCATGCGGAAGCCAGCAGCAGCGTTCGTGCTCAGGATTGTGCTCGCGTGCAGCAGCAGTGACAGTAGTGGCAACAGCGACAACAAATCTCACATTGCCCGCGGACGGGTTGCCGGTGAGCATGCGGAAGCCAGGCGGGAAGGGCTTGATGGTCTCAGGGTTCTTGACAGACGTGCGGTAATAGAATAGCGTCCAGTTGGGCTTTAACTGTTGGGCAAGTGGGGAAGGAGGGGGGAGAGGAGGCGTAAGGGGAAGGGGAGCGGGAGAAGGGGCGGCGGGAAGGGCTTGATGGTCTCGGGATTGGGAAAGGGGAGAGGGGAGGGGTGGAAAGGAAGATGGACGGCGTGCGGTAATAGAATGACGTCCAGATGGAATTTAACTGCCGCATGAGAGTGACGAAGGCATGGCGAAGGGGAGGGGGGGGGGAGAGAGGGGGAAGGGGAAGGGGAAGGGGGGGGCGCGGGGGGGGGGGCGCGGGGGGGAAGAGGGGGAAGGGGAGTTGGTGAGGTTTCAGCATTCACAGCGTGCGGTAGTATGGCTTTAACTGCGGCACGCGGGGAGAGGGAACTTGAAGTGGAGCGCAGAGAGAGGGAAACGGGGGGAAATGACGAAGGCGGGAGGGGGAGGGGGTGTGAGGAAGCGGTGAGGGAGAACCCGCGCGTACACACGCGTGGGGAAACCGCATGGGGATAGGGGGAGGGGATCAAGCAGATTAAGTACCCCGTTAGTAGTCGTCTCGCTACCTTGAAGGCAATTGCGCAATCAAGCGCTGTCACCACGAAACGCCTAATCGCCAATAAGGCCATGCGCGCGTAGAATTTTGTGGAGCTGATGCAGCGATCACACAAGTCCACCCCAAGTTGCACAGCGGCGTGTCTTCGAATCCGTCCTGCTCACGGATCCGGGCGCGAACTCCTCTTTCCGCAAAGAGAAATTCGTCAACGCGATCGTCTTCGTTTTGGCGCTTGTTTTTCGATGTAGCATGCAATCGCCGCAGAGGGAGCGCCATGTGATCACGCCATGTTTCAGCGAGGGGTGAGCTTACGCACTTGCGGTGTTTTTCCATGCTGGCATTTTTCTGTTTTGTGCGCATGAAAGCTAAACAAACACGACGGGAAAGCTGCACACCGCTGCGACTTTGAGCAACTAAACAAACACTGCGTTAAGCTTACGTGCTTGTAGATGTATTTGCCTTGGGCATCCTTCTGATTGGTGCGCATGAATACCGACGGGAACCAATACGCCGCTGCGTCCGCTTTCAGACCGCACGTCGTCGCACCGCCCACCAGCTTCGTTCCTGTCGCATAACGTAGCGGGAAGCATGTTGCATGATTAAAAACAAGGAAAACGAGACAAACAAAAGAATCAGAAAGAAAGACAGAAGAACTGGTGAACCGTAGCACTACTCACCATCGGTGGTGAAGGCATTTGTCTTCTTGCTGCCTAGAAAATCGTGCAGGTGCGATTTTCCGGGCTGACCGGGAAAAACAATGGGGTCATTGCGGGCCGCGTGGCTGAAGTTGCAGCGGATGCGGAACTGCGCGCGAGGCACGCGCTCCGGTCGCAGCAGGAGGTCCGAGGTCGCCGTGTGGAAGAGGAACGAGACTACCACGGCAAGCACTATGAGCGGCAGTCGACGGAATGAACCCATTGCGACAGCAGGTCACAGTGGAAGGAGTTGGCCCGTATGTCGATCAACAACTCAGTGCAATTGAGTTGATTGATGGGCTACCGATGTTTCCTCAGTAATACCCGCAGGTGGGAGGAGTTGTTCGGCAGATGGAAAGGGTTGTGAAGTTCGCCTCTTTATGGCTGTTGCGGGGGAAGATGGCATCACCTCACTCACCACCCCACCCCCACCCACACACATATTATAATGAAATGCGACGCGGTACAACCAAGGAGGTCGGTTGGTCGGCTCCCTTTCACCTTCTGTACAGTCACCCATCTGACACATCCGGACCGTACATCTCCGATCGACGGCAGTCGTGTAGTGTCGTGTCGAGTGCTCTTGACACCTCCACGCCAAGCCCAAGGGGATTCGGCGGCAACAATTTCCAGAAGTCGCGACATGCGACTCGTGACGCTCCTTCTTGATGTTGGGGTCAAACAGCTCTAAACCAATCACCATGATTCGTACCTCCTCGATATACACAAGATGCCCGTTTGACTATGCCGAAGTTGCTTTGTAATGAGAGCTCTTAAAAGATTCTTGCAATGCGCTCAATTGTCGTCACTTCGCACTTAGCAAAAAGGGTTTTGATAAGATTTTGTAACTCTCTGTTGACCGTTTGACGCTGGTCTCTTCTGTCAAACTTCGGTTTTTGTGGCTCGTATTGCTCGAGGTTCTTGTAAATGAGGTGCAGCTGGCTGGCACCCTAATACACGGGTGCAGAGTTTCCATCGCGACCATGGCAAATTCGCAACCAGGGGTTGGGCATCTTGTGTATGGGGTTGGGCCAGGGCAGGTCTCGACCCTGGAATTACACAGCCGCCATCAATATGACCCTAGATGTAATTACAAGCACACCACAAACACTTGTGAGCCCATATTAGGTCGTATCCCTGCCTAGTGTCAAGAAGTTGGTGTCAAGAAGTTTGCGCATGCGATTGGTAAAAAAAAAACAATTGTCCAATCGCATTGGCCAGAAATTTGTTCTGGACCAATAGGGTGCGAGCACTTCTTGACACTAAGTTCTTGACACTAGGCAGGGATACGACCTTATATCTGGAAATTAGCTTGTGAGAATACACAAAGCTTTTTTTATTTTACAGATTTTTTTATAAGCACACACCGGGTGTGCTACGATCAAAAGATGAACGCTGCCAGGATCTCCTTGGGAAGGTTCGTACGCAGATAGGTAGATTAGGTGGGCCCTTGACCTCAATAGCAGAGTGAATGTAAAATGATTGAGATGAATTAAAACATGCAAGTACAGCGATATAAATAAGAGTACAGGGGAATATGAATCGACCTAGCTAGCCATGTACTCTAAGGGGTACATTCCCTTATTCAAATTCATTCCCAATCGTGCGGCGCGTACAGTTACGAAAATGTTCCCGCCAAATCCCTCCTGCCTGCAACTGCCCGATTGCCGTCTGCTCCGACGGTCTAGATGCGCGCCAACTGTCTGACGCTTCGAGTCGATTCTAACTCTTCGCATTCGTTCTCGATATTGCATGCTTCCATAGCTGCAGTCGGGAGTGCACAATAATGTTCTCATTCATTACTATTCGTAACACCCCCCTTCACTCCTGGCCGCATCTCGACTTGACCTGCTTGACCACTCCGCTGAGTTCGGAGCAGTGCTGATACTGCTGGCGTGGCAGTCGCTTCGTGAGAAAGTCTGCTGCCATGTCACCAGTCGGGCAGTAGGTCAAGTCAACCTTGCCCTTGTCCACTTCGTCCTTCACGAAGAAATACTGCAGCGCGATGTGCTTGATGCGGTTGACGAAACCAGGTTTGTTCGCGATGCGAATCGCGCTCTGGTTTTCGCAGTGAAGACGAAAGGTGGGCGATGCTGGAATTTCGCCTCATGCAGAAGTTCCTGTAAGTAGAGGCCTTCGTGAGCTGTTGCGGTTGCTGCGATGAATTCCGCTTCGGTTGACGACAGGGCAACCAATTCATGCTTCTGCGAGTTCCAGGAGATTGGTCCTGTTTGTTCGAGTCTGAACAGGAAGCCAGTCCTGGACCGTCGATTGTCGGGATCTGTTGCGTGATTGGCGTCTACGTAGCTGATGAGGTTGAAGGATGGGGTTGGTGCAGTTGAGTAGCACAGCCCAATCTTGGGCGTTGAAACGAAGAACTGTAGGGCGCGCTGCAGGTCCAGAAGATTCTCAGCCGTTGTTTTGCGTGAGTACTGGGCCAGCTGACTTGCGATGTAGGAGAGGTCAGGCCTGCTTGTGACAGAGGCAAAGAGCAAGCATCCCAGCTGCTGCTGGTAAGTGTGAACTCCAGCAGGAGATAGGGCTTTGTTGTCAGGTTTGTGGTTCGGTCCTGGAGTTCGGTAGGGAGTGGAGAGCGGTGCAGGTGAGATGTTGAATCGCTTTCCTAACTCCTCTGCGTACTTGGCCGCTGAGAGGTGAATGGCCTCTGGCGCGTAGGAGATGTTGAGGCCTAAGAACTGCTTCACCTCGTAGTTGCACATGATGTCGACGTGCCCCGCTAGGTTTTTCTCGAACTGCTCCAGTAGTTCTTTGCTCGATCCTGTGTAGAGCAAGTTGTCGATGTAGACTGTGAGGAGGATGTATTCGCCGCGGAAATCACGGCGGTACATCCTAGGATCATGCGGCATCTGCTTGAACCCGATTTCAAGCAGAATGTTGTGCAAATACTGCTGCCACAGTCTCGGTGCCTGCTTGATCCCGTAAAGGGACTTGCGCAGTTGACACACGCGCGAGTCCCCTTCGCCGTATGCATGCGGCTGCTCCACGTAGATTACGACTTCTACTAACGCGTACAGGAACGCGTTCTTGACGTTGATCTGGCGGAGAGGCAGGTGCCTTGCGGCTGTGATGGCGAGCAGGATTCGAACGGAGGTGTGGCGACTGACCGGAGCAAACGTCTGGTCGAAATCGATCCCATGCCTTTGGTCATGGCCACGCACCACCCACCGCGCCTTAAAGCGCTCGATCGTTCCGTCCGCTGCGGTCTTCACGCGGAAGACCCACTTCCCCGAGAGAACTCTTGCACCCTTGATTGCTGCGCGGTCGACTAGCACCCAAGTATCTCTGGATTCATGGACCTTGATCTCTGCGTCCATCGCCTCGCGCCACTCCTTCTAGTGTGGTCCAGTGAGAGCTTGGCGCGGGTTTCGTGGCTCGATGACACGTGGCGCCTTATAGGTTGCAGTGTGAAGCCCGAGCAGCTGTAATCCTGAGATAGTGCTTTGTTGCGGGACGACTTCCTGCACGTCCTCGTCATCGCTCTCCGACTCAGGTGGTGCCGGCGGTGCTGCGCCTCTGCCGCTTCCGCCTATTTCCCCCATTCCTCCTCCAGAGGAGCTGTCATCATCGTCGCTGCTGTGGCGATTACTTCTCGTGAATTCGCCCCTGGTGTCTTGCTCTAGGATTGCTGATGCCAGAGTGCATTGTCAGCACGAAAGTCGGAAGTGCGCGTATAGTGCGCGCGAGCTTCTTCGGCTCGCGCGCACAGGGGCAGGTTGTCAGAACATATAGCTTACCTGTTTGTGTAGGCTACAGCGGGGTATCCCATAGGGGGTACAACCCACTTAGGGTTTGCTATTTGTACTTCTTTCAGACTTAGTCATTCTCATTCCTGTTTCATATCTTCACATGGTATCAGAGCGGGTCCCTCCTAAGGACCGATTTTTTTTTGGGCCCACCCACGAATTTCGCTCTGCCCGGAGCGCCCTACTCTCCCCGAGGCGCGCTCCCCCCCCCCTCCCCCCCCCCTTAGTGCGGTTCGCTCTGCCCGTGTGGGCCCCTGCGAGTCGCGCGCGCAAATTTTTTTTTAGCGCGCGCGGCTCGGGGTCACGTCGCGCGGGCTCTACGGCTGCGCCGCGCCGCCCTTTCGGCCCGGCTGCGCCCCGCCGCCCTCGAACCGGCCACGCGGCCGCTTCGTCGCGGCCGCGGGCCCTGCTTTTGACGGCCCCGCCGTTCGGTTTTTGACGGCCCGGCCCGGCCGGCCCCGCCGCTACAACTCAGACGGCCCCGCCGCTACACCCCACGGCCCCGCCCGTCCCTGTCAACGGCCCCGCCCGTCCCTGACCCGGCCCCGCCGCTGCACCTCAGACGGCCCCGCCGCTGCGCCTTGACGGCCCCGCCGCTTCCTGTCCCGGCCCCGCCCGTCCCAGTCTCGGCCCCGCCGCTGCACCCTGACGGCTCCGCCCGTCCCTGTCCCGGCCCCGCCGCTGCACCTCAGACGGCCCCGCCGCTGCACCTTGACGGCCCCGCCGCTTCCTGTCCCGGCCCCGCCCGTCCCAGTCTCGGCCCCGCCGCTGCACCCTGACGGCTCCGCCCGTCTCTTTCCCGGCCCCGCCGCTACACCTCTGACGGCCCCGCCGCTGCACATTGACGGCCCCGCCGCTGCAACCTGACGGCCCCGCCGTCCCACTTGACGGCCCCGCCGTCCTCTGTCCCGGCCCCGCTGCTGCACCCTGACGGCCCCGCCGTCCTCTGTCCCGGCCCCGCCGCTGCACCCTGACGGCCCTGCCGTCTCCTGTCCCGGCCCCGCCACGACACAGCAGCCGAGCCGCCCTGCAGCAGCCGAGCCGCCCTTCAGCCGCCGAGCCGCCCGGGAGCCGAGCCGCCCTGCACCCGAGTCGCCCTGTCGCCGAGCCGCCCGGGAGCCGAGCCGCCCTGCACCCGAGCCGCCCTGCTGCCGAGCCGCCCGGGAGCTGAGCCGCTGTGCACCCGAGCCGCCCGGTCGCCGTGCTGCCTGTCTGTCGAGCTACACGATCTGCCCCGCCCGGTGAGCACAGTCCCACTGTCACTGCTTGCTCTTCCCCTACTGCTTGCACTGCTTCGCTGTCGTCGCCATGGCCACCCCTAGTGTCCTAGCCTTTGACGCTGAGGGTCGTGCCATTGATTTCGAGGTCTGGCTAGATGACCTGCAACTGTTCTTACAGTGCGACAGAGCTGACGGCCTTTCTCTCTTTGACCTCACCTCTGGCGCCTCTCCTGCTCCTA